TATATATATATATATATCCCACATTTATCAAAACCCAAGACAAAGGGCCATTCACGCCTATAGGAAATGTTAATATTTTAGCTCCAGGTTGGACTTCCAATGAGAACCATTTGTAAAAGGCCATTTTAGTTTACAGCAAACTTGTGCTTTGCTGTCATTTCTCACTACCCAGCAGCTTCTACTTACTCTCCCTTTCTTTCCCTGCTGCTCCATTTAGCATTGAGCTGAAGGATATACCTGGTACTTCTGGTATGACACACTTCATGGGACAGCATTGGTCCAGTCACAAGGTGAGTAAAAAGCCCTGTGTAAGATATGACTACATTGCTTTGTAGTTTACACGTCTGATCCAGGCAGCTGAATGGAATGGCATGGACAGAAAATAAGGTACGTATAAGCTACTGGGTAGGGCTATGTTCAAGTGAACCTGTTGCACTACCTTGCATGGGTAAAGCACAGATTCACTTGAAATATCAGTATAACTATTGCCTTGATGTAAAGATGCTGGAAGGGAGCAATTATAGCATTGAAATGTTTTATTCATACCAAAATGGAAAAAAAAAAAAAAAGAAGGTCAGAGGGCAAAGGCTGCAGATAACCACTATAAATGCATTATTTTTATTTAAAATGCATCTATAGCCAAATCTTTCTTTTTTGGACAGAATATGAATGGGTATAACCCCTGACCGGTCATTTGCTGTCTGTGCATCACTGTTGAATTTTCCCTTCACCTCCTCACCCAGAGACATAACAGGAAGCTAAAAGATATACCCCTCAGGCAGTTGTCTCCAGAACAGGTGCCCCCACTAACTTCCCTTTACCTCTTGTTCTGGGGACAACTACAATTTTGGATTTCCTCTCAAATTTCCTCTTGGCGACAATGGTCAGCAGTACAATTAGAATGGTGACTCTCCCCAATGTGCCGCAATAAAAAAACGTGGCCCTTACCTACTTAAGAGAGCTATGGGGTAAGTGTTTTTCCCCATAGTTCTCTTAAGGGTCACGGGAGGACATATACTAGCATCCTCCCGTGACCCAAAGCTCAGTATATCGCGAGCTACAGCTCACGGTATAGCGAGACCGCCGCAGCTGTGACGCATCATGACCTTACTGTCGAGATCCACCCAGCTGCGTGAGTAACAGCGGGCTCTGTCCATCTAGAGGCAGAGCCAGCTGTACCCGCCCCCTCCCCCGTCCGTTTCCTACAGTCAGCGCTATGAGGATCAGAGCGAGGAGGGAGGGAATCCCTGCGGGGAGTGGTAACTGACAGTCATGGCTCTCTGCAGGGAGATGATCAAGAAGTGAGCGAGCGACTATGTGTTCACTCACTTCCCGATCTATTGAGCCGTCCTGTGACAGCTTCATTGTCACACGTCGGCTCAAACTAGGAGGATGAGTGATTTTCCCTCACCTCAAAGTTCTCATTTAAGCAAAAGACTAGCAGCTGGAATTTATCTTTCCGTGATGTCATGGAGAAGGGGTAATGGCTTTTAGGAAGTCAGCTGCTCTTACCTAATCTCTCACTACTAGTAAGTGGTTTAAAAATTTGGCCCAGCTACAACCAGATAACATCACCAGCTATAATTTGAACATAATTTCCTTACAAAATGACAACAGCTAAAACTCCGTTTAGTGTCAGACATCCTGAAGAATTCTGTGCTACTTCATCTACATTACGCTCATTTACACAACAAAATAGAGGAAAGCTTTGTTCGGACATTGCTGGCTAGTAGAAGTCACGCAGAGGTCCTACATACCTCCCCAGGACTAGCCAAGCATTCTTATCCAAAAATATTGTTAATGATGGAACGGTTACAGTCAGTTGCACATTGAGCACACTTTATGAATACAGGAAATATTTTCCAGTGAACCTTGGATAAATATACCCCCAATATGAAATCATACTACTAATTCGATATTTAGCGTTCAGCAAAAACAATTCTTTCCAACGGACCATTTAAACACCTTCGGCTTACACCGGAAATCACCTATTAACAGCAAAAATAAGACCTCATCTGAATAATATATAAATACCGTATAAGAGTGCAAAGCAAAATACCTTTTGCATTCTTTCTTCGTCTTGGAGTAGGTGTGGTGAATGCAAACAAAGCTGTGGAGGGATCCAGAGACAAAGAAGCATTACTTAATCGAGTCCTTGTAATACGCATGCTTTTAGTCTGTTCTTCTGGATCAGCATTCGGCACCATGTCTTGACTGTCCACTGGCTGCAAAGCATGCAGCCTTTCCTCTACACTTTCTTCTGACACTGCAGGAAGGGTACGTTTTCTAGTCTGTCTGATTGACACGTTTCCTTGCTTTGTCGCTTTGGTCAATGCGGGCTCTTCAGGTGGTAAGACAGATCTTTCAGAAAGGTCTGTGGACTCTTCCCCAAGTTTGCTGACCTTAGATCTCCTCATGCTTTTTCTAGGTGTATCTACAATTTGCTCTTGTGACTGTGTATTTTCTTGCTCAGCTGTTTGATGGTCTATCTGCTTTTCTGATTTTATCCTTGACCATCTTAATGAGACTCGTTTTGGAGAACCAGGTGGGCTAGAATCTGCTTTGTAAGAAGTTTGAGTGACATTAAGCTCAAATTGCTTGACCAACTCATTAACAGCACGCTTTCCCCTACGACCTCTGGTAGGTGTGGTAACTTGTTCAGTTTCAGTTTCTGGATTCTTAGCTAATAGTTCTTTTTCAGCTTCTGGTATAACTTTAGAAGATCTTGTAATCCTTGTAGGTGTAAGAACACCAACCTTTAAATCCAGCAAGTCTTCGTCTCCTTTGTTCACTTGATCTAAAATGGGAGCTTTACCTCTGCGCGTTCTAGCTGGAGACAGGGGCAGTGGTACTGTGACCTCAACACTTGTTAACTCCACTTCAGTATTTTGATTCTTTTCAGGTACTTGGCTCCTATTTCTTGTAAAAATTTGTGAGGATGGTTGTTCCTCTTGTGAAGTAGACACTGTTAGCTTTTCTTCATTTACTTTGGCTTTTCTTCCTCTTCTGGGAGTTACAGGAAGCGGAGCTTCAATATCAGCACTGGTACCTTCAGTTATTCTTGTGGATTTCCTTACAGTTCTCCGTGGGGTTTGTGGGTTAACAACTACAGATTCGTCTTTCTTTGGCGATGTTTCTAGAGTTTCTTTAAGACTTTGAACATCCAATTTTTTTTGTGGGGTTGCTGCCTGGATGATGTTCTCAACTCCAACATCTTCTGATTTTTTCCCCCTTCTTTTAGTGGGGGTCCTAGAAGTGTGGACACTTCTGCGCTTCTTTATAGGCTCATTTTCTTGGGCTGATTCATCATCAACTTCAGAAGAAAAATCTTTGACGCTTGTACCTCTGAATACATCAAGCAAGTTTTCTTCTACAGCTACCTTAATTGGCTTGGGCACGTACGGCAAGGTCTCCATAATCTTTGTCTCTTGTTCACCATCTACAAGAGTGAAAGCATTTGCAGGGCATGTGTCAGTACTTTTTATCTCTTGGTTGGCATATTCCTCAGTCAGCGAGAATGAAATCTTTGAAACAGTTGTAAGTTCTGTGTCTGCAGGATGATCCGCTTTAAGCACTTTATCGGCAGTTTCATCCTCTTCTGCTTCACCTTCTTCCTCAAGAATTAATGTAAAATTACTAGCAGCATTCTCTACTTCAGCATCCTCGGTTTCCATAGAATTGCCATCATTAGACTGTTCACTTCTGTTGTGATCTTCAATATTTTCAGCATTGTAATCCACCTGGAATTCAACAGCTGGATGCAACAGATGGTTGCTTGTCATGAGTTCCAACTCCGGTACCTCTTTTTCCTTTATTTCCTATAAAAGAATGAAATGAAAATTAAAGATTATCTTATAGAAAAATGTTTTTTTTTTTACCAAACATTAAAGTGACACAGCTCGGGAGTTAATAGTTAAGGTGCTTAAATGCATTTTTAAGAATCATCAAAAATGTACCTTATGTGTGCATCCTCTAATCATCTCTGAATTAGTGCGGACACTAGCCTTCCTTCTGGACGGTGGCTACTTTTGTTCCCCCATGGTCCTCATGTGTTGTAAAGTAGCCACCGCTCCAAGTTCACTCCGGTGATGAATTACAATCACGTTTAGTTTACTCATTTGAATTGAGATTGTAGTCCAGCACACGAGTGAGCTTGGAGCTTTGACATTTCCTCTGGCTTGATAAAGAGGCATTTGCCTCGAAACGCGTAGCCCTTTTGACAGTCCCTCTCACTTACTAAGACGACTCCTGAGCCTCTCAGCTTCCCACTGACGATTGCTGTCATTCTCTTATACCGCTCACTGACAGTGTCGTACACTGCAGCTGAGCGGCTTTTCTCCTATGCAGCCGCCAAAGGCTCAGCCTGGCCAGCTGAGACCTTCCAGCATCTGACAGTGACAATCAGTGCCCAACACGCGGTGAGCTGCGGCAGCCCAACGCCGTTCCCAATTGTTAGCGGTTCCCATCCAGCCTCTCTCCCCTGGTCTCCAAGCAGTTCCTCTTCATTTGCCGGCACCACCACTCTTCAAACAGCAAACTGTGAGTCACCTCAGTTCACGAATATTACATTCTATACTAAAACTACTTAAAAAGGTTGTAGCGCTTCCGTTTTTCATTGATTCTGTATGTGGGGTTCATCTCCCTGTTTTGAGAAGCCAGCACACCTAATGCCACACATTGGTATTTAAACATTTGTATTTAAAAATTGACCCAATTCTCCAGTAGTGCGCTTACCACACATTTTTGTTTTCAGAGCTTGGAGCACTGGCTACTTTACAACACACTGAAACCAAGGGGAACAAAAGTAGCCACTCTCCAGAAGGACAGTGGCAGCACAAATTTAGAGATTACTTCTGGATCTACAGCTGAGTCCTGCACAAATAAGCTACATTTCTGTTACTAGTTAAAGCTATTTAAATTTTAAGTTGTAACCCCCGAGTTAAGTACCATTTTAAGCACATGCTTAAACATGCTTAAGCACATTTCATGAGTATAAAAAAAAGGTGAATGCGAACATATACTCCACTTTAAAGAATATGTTTCAGCAAAATAAAAAAAAAAACACATCCATTACATCTTTGAACATTTCCTCATCTTTTATGCCTTTAAAGAAACACTGCAACAATACCCGTCAACCCTGCCAGCGAACGGCTAAATTTATCTATATTGAAGTCCCAAGAAGCTTCATCAGTCCTGCCCCAGTTCTAAACTTAGACTACAGAAACCTCCCCTCCGTATGTCATTGAGAGGAAGAGCAGGGAATGTGCTCTGTGGATCAGTGTGGGTGAACTGGGCAGTGCCGACAACACTGCTTGGGACACTTAGCCTTAGGCTGGGTTCACACCTAGGCGTATCAAATACGCGCGTTACCGCTATTCGCTGTAAAAAACGCACGACAAACGCGCGTTTCCGAGGACTACCTGGCTGTATCCCCAATGGATACGCGCAGCAAATACGCCCCAGAGAAGTTCCTGTACTTCTTTGGGCGTAGGGCGTTTTGTAGCGCATTCATACGGCCTGTAATACGCCCAGGTGTGACATACCCATAGGAAATAATGGGATTTCGGTGTTTGAGCGTTTTGCAGAGCATAGGAACGCGCTACAAAACACCCAGGTGTGAACTGGGCCTTACATAATGGTAAACCTAAAGTGTGCAGTTGCTTTTGAGAAGCACTAGGAATCAGGGAGATCCAATAGGAAGCTGGAGCAGCAACTAGGCTCAGCAAAGTTACACTGTCTGCACTTGTGTTTATTACTGAAAGAACCATGAGATACTCCAAACTGCAGCTTCTAATCTTGCCTGTTAGATTTGGCTCTCGACTCCAAACACAAATGATATTGCTAGACAAAGCCCTGCATGATTGTGGTAAAAAAAAAAACTCAACCCAAAAAGGCAAGGAATTAAGTCACACTTGACAGAGCTAGAACGAGGACTCCAATGATGGCATAGACTCTAGAAGTAGAGGGTAACATGACTCTTGGCTGCAGGCGTTGGCACCATCAGGGAGGCATGCTGCAAACCCTCTGGAGCAGTCAGAGTATGAGGGCATCTGCTACAGAGGAGATGCCCCACTCCATGTCTAGAATCAGACATGCAATTGCATTGTGGTAAGGCAACATATAAGCTCTGGGTAAGACACCAGGCCTCAGCAACACAAGAAACCCAAACAGCTGGTAGCAGGTAAGGGTCGGATGGAAGGAGGTGACCAGAAATTACTGTAGTAGGGCATCAGGAACTGATTGGGTTTCTATGGAGCTCTTTGCAAGCAGGAGCAGTAGCAAGGAGACTGTTTTATACTGTCTGGCGGAAAAAACGAGCAGCTTACACAAACTCCACCAACTGGATATATCAGTGTTCCCCCTACTGCAGTAGAAACCGGTGTGGGGAATAGCGTGAACTATGTAAACAAGGTAGCTTCCGTTGCTCAGCCTGACCAGACAACTCACTAAACAAGTCTTCAGAGAGGCCAAGAGCTGAGATGATGCCAGTGGCTCTGGAAAGTGCTCCACAGCTAACCTTTTCCAGAATGGAGTCTGGAAAGTGCCCCACCCGAAAGCCAGTGCCCAAGGGCCATTTTCAAGCGCCCCTAAATTATAGAGTCCAGCGAGGTCTGAACCTGGTACACTGAAAACCAGGCTGAGGATGCTATACTGCGGAGCTGCAAACAGAGAAACAAGCTCTAGCATTGATATAGAGAACAGCCTTGACTGAACGGGAAAAAGCCCCAAAAAAACAAAGAATATAAAAGGTGCTAGCAATAAAATAGGTTAGTCTTCGAGTAGAACTGAAGAAAAGATGTTCATCCTCCCAGGATACCAACAAAAACAATGAGGCATGCAGGTAGGGGTAACTCCTGGGCTTGTCAACATTTTTTTTTCCCCCGGTCAAAATGTTGGGCAGCACAAATCACTGAGAGCAAACTGGTGTTAAGTGAAGAATGACAAAGCTATAAAACCTATGCTGAATATTAACATTTACATTATAATGTACCTCTTCCACACAGCGAGACAGTGGAGCTCTAGCCATAGGGTATCCTTGAACCAGGAAATACTTGTCTTCTTGTAATTCAACATCTCCATTGAGTTCCACCACTTCATTTTCTTCATTTAGATGTTCCGATAGTGAAGATGTTGCAAGTGCACAGTCATGAATACTAACAACGGCTACAAAGAAAGGAAAACATTTCTTATAAAACCAAAAATTAAATTAGGTTCCAACTCAGAAAAAAACGTTGCCAATATAAACAGAACAACCTTATTCTACAACACACATTAACGCTTTGGGGCAAGTACCTACCATTTACCAAGTTACTTCACAAATATAAACATCTTTGTTAAAATAGTTTGGGATGCATCGCAAAACACATGTATGGTTTGGCTATTCGAAAAAGCAAATTAAGCAAATTAAGGAAAAATTAGAACATTCGTAGCTACTAAAAGGGAGGAATAGAATTCTAGCAGCTTCAATGAAATTTTGCCAAGAACAGGCATCACACCTTCCATGCACAGCAGGTTGAATGAACACAGCCACAGATCACAGCCAGGTAATGACTCGCCGCCCGGCTTGCTGATTGGCCATCTCCCCAACCAATCAGGAAACTGGGCGACGAGTCATTACACGCTGCCCAGCTTCTTGATTTGCCTGCAAGCCGGCTTCATGCTCTCTCGTTACCAATTGACAAGGGGGCATGGAGTCGGCTTCTCGGCCAATCAGGAAGCCGGGGGGCGGGCAATGACTCATTGGCCAGCTTCCTGATTGGCTGGAAAGCCAGCTCCAAGCCCCCCCTTTTGTAATGACTCGCCGCCTGGCTTCCCAATACCAGAAGTTCCAGTATCGGGATAGACATCGGGAGCATTTGGGCGAGTACGGGTACTCGCCCAAATACTCGGTATCGGCAATGATCCTGATAATAATGTAACTGTACTGGTGTAACTAATTTCCACTGCCTGGAATAGTAGGTTCAATCAAATCTACATGTGATGCGAGATTAGCTTTTATATCCCTTCAAGTGTGCCCCAAAGTAAACATGCTTTGCACATACAGGGAAATGCCCACCCCGCTTACATTACCCAATCCCTTTGCTCCCTTGCTGTAGAGTGAAATATCCTGTATTTCCAGGTATGGGGATTATGTGACAGAGCCTTTCCGCCTAGGATGCTGCGCAGTGTGCTCAAGGGACCAAATGCCAGGCACCAGCGCAGTCACATGAGAGAATATTTAGCTCTATATAAGTCCCAGTCACAGCACTTGGGGAAGTAATACAGGGTCTCTTCTTTTTGCTCCCACAGATGAACAGAGTAGAGCGTGCAGAGAATAAAAAAAAAAAAAAAGGAGTGGGGAAAAATTAAAACTAACATACTGCATTACCTACATGGTTCACTAAATTTTTTTACAGTGGAAACCTGCCTCAGATTTGAGTACAAAATACATTACAACTTAAACATGGCAGGAAATACTTACATGGAGAGTCCCGAGTAGAAGAAAAGGATTCTGGATCTATACCAGCTGTCTGTGCGTTATCTTCTACCTCTTCCAAAGCACTAGTAAATAGTAAAGCAGTTTTAATATATATGTACATAGTATATTCCTTTATAATAGACTAGGGTAGCGCATTAGTAAGAACGCAAAGACAGGATGACTATTCTATATACCAAAATGAAAAACAAAGAAAAAACGGGCATATACATAAAAAAATAAAAAGCAACAAAAAAAAAACCTACTGTATATCTAAAAATGTAACAGTTATTTATTATTGATATAGAATGAAGTACTTAAAGAATGTCAATAGTAAAGGCCCAATACTAAGGATTCTGGTTTAAAAGCTGAACTTTGTGCAGGTCATATCTGCTGAAGTTTATGCTATGTCCAACAAGGCAGATATCCGACCCTTTATGGTACTTCGAGCTAAACGTTGTGCTACCCCAAGTTGAAGTGAAAATAAACCTTCCACGTATGGCGATACATTTTACAAGTAAAAGAGCTTACGAGCCTTAAGCATGGTGGGAATGGCAGAATTTGAAAACAGAATGTGAAACTCCTTGGGTCTCTAAACACTTGGGTTTCCACAACCAGGCCATTAAGCCAGCGACCGAGAAGCAGGGTGGAAGACTGGGCCCCGAGGTAAAAGATCTGGCCCATCTGGAAGCAGCCATGCATCGTCTGCCAACACATGAACCAGTGCCAGTGGAGGAAAGACATGTGTGTACGGATCCCAGGGGCTACTAAGGCGCCCACTGCATCTGCCGTTGGATCCCTTGCTCTGGATCCACCAGCTTGTTGTCCTGTAGCTTTTTTAATAATCTAATGCAAGGTAGTTCCAAAAAGATGACCTCTCACATAGGGTAAGTGCAAAAGCCAGATAGATCTGTGTATGTGAGTGGAAGAGACAAACACAAGCATTAAAAGGAACACATCGCATATGAAATGAGAAGTGTCATCTGATCCACATAAATCAATAAAATGTGGAGCAAATCCAGCAGTCGCACATCCTGTACGTAAAGATTTTGTCCAAGTAGCCAAATGAGGACAGTAGCCAATAATGGCTGAAGAGCCAAACCAGTTAACTAATATAGAGAAAAATATTCTCCAATGTTTTGTCAGTAGGATCCTTAAATGAAGGAGTGTAATTAATAAGAATAGTCGATTTCTTGTTAGGACAAGAAAATGGATACAGTCAAATCTTATTTGGCTTATGTCATTTTCTATTCCTATCCTAATAGTTAAAGCATTGAGGAAACCGAGACTGCTTATCCAGAATTCCCCAACCCTTATATAAAAGACTATAAAAAATAGGATGAAGAGGGAAAACCTTGCAGACATGCTCAGGGGAAAAACCTTGCAGACATGCTCAGGTTTTTGTGAAGATGGACTAGAAATAGCAGAAGTAGAAATTACAGCAGTACCCTCTAATTTTAAAGAGGAACAAACAGCCTCAGTTAAGTAGGCAACCGTTTCTTTCTAAAGCTCAGTGAATCTGTCACAGCCCAGCTACTGCATCAATGATATGGCATTAGTGTTTATGAGATGCACACATTAGGTGTATTGTATTCATGAGCTAAATCTATCACTATGTTTCTTAATCAATGAAGGAAAGAGTGCACACCCAAAACACCTAGATAAGTGTCACCAAGTAGCCCCTGCATCACTTTCACGAGTGCTGCTGCTTCCAACTGAGTGAAAACTCAGTCAACAGCATTCGGGGAAAAGGAGGAGTGAAATAAACAGTAAGCCTGAGCAGTAATAAAGAGGAGAGCTCCCCCATGTGGCCAACGTGTGAAGTACATAAAAGTATAACTAGCACAGTTCACCACAGCAAAACCTCAGAGGCCTAGTAACATACAGGCCACTTGTGACTGGAATCAGAAACATCAGTCACACCGACATAAATCACAAATGTCACAAGTTTCTGAATAAAACTCGTAGTAAGACACAGAGTAGAAAAAAAAAATCAATTTCACAGTGTTCAGCTAATGACGGTCTGTTCTGACAATTCTGTTTCTTAGACAGCAGGAAAATTATATAAAATAGGTCAAACTACACAAAGGCATTTAGCCACATAGGAGTCTAAAAAGCACAGCACCCAAGTAAAATAAAGGAGGGAAAACACCCAACCTTATAAAAAACTGGTAGATGTAAGGGATTATGTCCCAAAAGTGGTAGGATTTTAACGGTTTTGCCTAGTAAAAATTTTTGCTAGAGGAAGCAGCATAGCCCTACATCTCAGAATGCTTCAAAGGCGTGTCCTCAATGGACGATGGAGAAAAATATAAAAGGACAAACAATTGGAATGCGTTTAACAAAGTCTATTATGGTTGAGGCCTTTTTTGGGGTGTGGTAAAATGTATTGGTAAAGGCTTTGTTACTACTTGCAGCCATGAAATATTACTTTTTTTAAAAAAAATTGCCCAGTTTTATTTTATGAATTGTGCTTAGAGCTTAATTTGATATTTTAAACAATGAGAAGATTATGAGCACTTACCACTGAAGTGGAGGAACAATTTCCTGCACCGTCGTTAACTGGTGTAATGTTTCTTGGTAATTTTCAGTTAGTGAATGATGGTCAGTATTTGCTTCCTCTTTATCTGGTGAAAAACAAAAAAAATGAGATTCTCATCATCGATTAGATGGTTGGGGAAGAGAAAGGGGAGAGAGGGGAAAAGGGAAGAGAGAGAAAGGGGGGGGGGGGGGGGGAGGGGGGGTGAGGAGAGTGACGGGGAGAGGAGGGAGGCGGGGGGGGGGGGAGGAAGGGGGGGAGGGGGAGAGACAGACTGAGAATATTTTTTATAAAACCAATCGATTATTTTTCAACTAATCGATTATGAAGATAATCGTTAGCTGCAGCATTAACATTAAGTTATTCATGCCTACTTTCTGTGATCTAACACTTAAAAATACAGGTAGTATACTCTGCAAATCTTTCAAAAAAATTGCTTCATATGACCACCCTTTGTGGTCATATGATAAAAGAGCACAGGCAAATCAGAAGCAGGGAGCTGCACCAAAAGGGGAAATAAGCAGAAATGCCCCAACATAATGACTAAGTGACCCAGTGAAAAAAAAAAAAAAAAAGGTAGAATCTTATTTTTTTTTTAACAGTACCTTGGCAGGCCGTAGAGATTCTGACATTTTAACCACCAAATTTTTACTTGGAGTGTATCCCCAAAGAGGTCCCATACAGCTAGGGTCTAGATGCAAAAAGGCTTCCACAGGGATCGACTGAGCCAATGCATTTTCCAGAACTTTAAGGTGCCTGCACTGTTGCAGCCTTTAGGCCAAACGTGGTTCATGTAAAATTGGAGTCTTTAATCTAGCCAATTTAAATAAATCTGTGAGGAAAGAAATTTGGTAGCTGCCACTGCCAAATTTGTTTTGAAAAGTGTTGTAGTCCAGTTCCTGTCATCAATGTGGCATCATTGACCTGCAACAAGCATGCAACTAGTGGAGTCAGAAAACCCCACTAATCCATACTTTTCCCTGGTCAGGTGACTCGCTTGGATTTTTAAGCAGGAAGATAACAGCCCTGGAGCTGGACCTTTAAAAACTAAATCAGCAATAGCAGTTTCAATGTTTTAAACAGGTCCATGCATGTACTTTGTCTAAATAACTGCACCACACATTCCCAGATAATCAAATATGACAGCTGCAGGAAAGGGAAACTGCAAAAAAATTATAAGTCACGTTCTGTCTTTTCCCTCATTTTAACAGCAAACGTAAGCACTGAAAATGGAAATCGGATTTGAAATATAGCCAGGGTGCAGGGGAAGCCACAAATACAGACGAGAGTATTTAGACACATCTACACATGCAGTTAAACACACCTTGATCTTGCAGTTCCTGAAGATGCATTTCTACTTTTGCCAAGTTGACTACTTCAGAAGGCAAGGACTCTTTATTGATGAGAGGCTCCGATTTAGCAGTTATGGTAACTACTTCATCTTCCATGTCTTCAGGTGTTGGAGCATCATGATACTCCAGTGTTGTCTGATCTGACCTTGCAGATATATTACTTGCTTCCCTACTGGCTTCTACCTTGCTGGTACTCCCATCCTGGATACCAGATGAAGATTCATCCAGCTCGTCAAGGTCTTCTTTAGTAGAAGTGTTGCTTAGAGACAATGCCATTCTTTCTGGCCAAATGGTATCCTGCGCAGATTTTATTAGAGGGGAGGACACTGGCAGATCCTTGTCAGGGGTTAAAACCTGCAATGACAAATGTAATAGAGAAAAGGAATTAGTGTTTGTCCATGTTAAATTAAAGGCACCTTGTATTAAAAATGTATTTTTCAAATTAGGATTTTGTATACAACAAATGAAGCCGACAGTAAAAAAGAAAAAAAAAATTAACCATTATAAACCCTGTAATAAATGTAAAGTGACAATATCATGAGTACCACGGGCCAGCCAACTGCTGGCCTTCTATAGGCATTTTCTGGGTCAGCAACACCAAGCACTGAAGCCAAAGTGTCACAATCAGAGGTGCACCTAAATGTTAATTTCCAAACCGAAATAAAAACAATTGTCAGGCCGAAACCGACAATTGTCGGCATTTAGACAAAAGTGCCATTTCTGGCCGATAAGTTTCGGCGGCCGATATATCGGTGCATCCCTAGTTACAATGGTAGCTAGTGAACGATCACACTCATAAAGAACTACGCAATAGCAGCCTCCATGCTTCCCACATGACAGTTCCTTTAAATTGATGTAGACACTACATATGCCAACCTAAATATTCAAGTTGCAAATTCCAGGTCAATAAAACGTATATCCAGAAGCTTACCCCTTTGACATATTTGTTACTGATCTGTTCCATAAAAGAGATTTTAGATTCTCTAGGTCGTAAAGGAGGTGTAATTGATCTTCCAGGAGAAACTGAAGGAGAAGCCAGGGGGGTAGTTCGGGTGCTGGACCTCAAAATAGACTGAGGTGTATGTGCCGTAAAAACAGAAGACACTGAGCTTGCAGCCAAAGCTTTTGCCCTCTGTAAGGGAAACATATCCATTAATAAAACCGATATTAAATTGTAACCGGCTGTGGTGATATAGCAAACATTATAACAGATGTATATGATGCACCTAAAGTAAACCTGCCATTACTGACCTTCTGCAAGTTGCTCTGCTTTTACAGCGACAGTCGCCTCAATACATTATGACTCAATGATGGCAAATAAGTATGCACATTGTCAAATCTATCTACATATTTCAGACTTTATTGAAATTCACAGCAAATCCAGTATAATAGTGAATAAAAGTGTTTAAAGTAACAAATGCCAGCACGGCACACCCCCAACCAGCTACAACCTCTCACATGTTTCACCCGTAAACCTCTATGAATAAGCCTACGTGTGAAACATGTGAGAGGTTGTAGCTGGTTAGGGGTGTGCAGTGCTGGCATGTGTTACTTTACACACTTTTATTTACGGTTATACTGGATTTGCTGTGAATTTCAATAAAGTCTGCAGTATTGGAATTCTCTGGATAGTGCGGTCTGTTCGTATACTACTACATTCCAAGGTGAAGACGCACCTATTGGACCAGCACCTGGGGAGTCCTGATGGCGGCTAAGTAATTGGAGCGGTGAGATTCCATTGGCTCTATCTACATATTTGTTATAGGTTAGTAGCACAGAGTATTGAAGCATCAGTGGCAGAGATGAAGGCAACTTCTGAACTCTCCTGAAAATGGGAGGTGCCCGCCGTCATGTACTGCAACTCCATTACACCTTTTTTTTGGACTGCTTAAGGCATGTTAACCCGATCTGTGGCAGCACGAACACCACCAGCAAATCGCTTCCGATGACTAAAAGATCAGCAGCATGCCACTCCTGTGCACACATTCTCAGCTGTTAAGATCCTCTGCAGCATACCACCTGCAATTTCTGGCAGCTTAAAAATGCAGAAGGGTGAGGGAAGATGCCCTTTTAGATTGTGGGCCCTCCTTACCATCTCGTCTTGAATTGTATTGTGATTCTAATTTCTTCCTTATATTGTAACGCGCTGCGCAAACTGTTGGCACTATATAAATCCAGTATAATAATAATGCAGACAGCTTTGACAGCTACTACATTACATGCAGATATCTTTGCACTGATTTGTTGGGAAGGAACAGGTTGTGGTGCTGTGTAAAGGCCAGTAAAGAGGTGCGTCACGGGAAAAGATTCCTCAGATAAGGCTTCATCACTGGGCTCAAATATTAAATACACATTCCTTTTAAAACACAGCACGTTTTTAATCTACTTAAATTACCTTTACTATAATAGGCGTTTCCAAAAGGTTAAACTCAGATGCTTTGGTCAAGTTTCTCAAATGCGCAATTTTCCGCAGATTTGATTGAATGGGACTAGAGGTCATCAACGTGCAAGATTTACGAGGAGTTCGTTCAGCAATCATCTCAAAATCTGCATCTCGAGGTAAAGGCTCTGTCAAGACGGGATGGACAATGGATTCCAGTAATCTGTGGAAACATACATCATAATCCAAACATTTAGGACAATGGCCCATGTTAAAATCAAGAAAAAATAAACAAATGTGCATAATGAATTTAATAGAGTGTAGACTGAAAAAGATGCTTTCGGTGAGACTAACAAAAAGGAAAATAATATTATTTTGTATCATAAGTCTAAACCGTGCACATTTCTTGGTGTGTAGTTACCAACCTTGACACTCTTCTAGATTTGGATACAGGCGTACTAATAAATGCATCGGGCACTTCTAAATGTGGCAAAGCTGTTACTGGATTCTGCTCTTCAGTGGGTAAACTGCAAAGTAAATGGAAGTCAGTTGCTATGCTTTACAATTAAACTGGACTTAGTCTTCTCGTTTTAGATAAGAGTGGGGAAGGTTTAAAACCTCAGTCTTGTTTTTATTGCTGCCTGCGCAGCCAGTGGTGAGCTTTCCACTCACTTCCTGCCCCTGTAACAGTGTTAAATCAAGGGGTCCAATTGCAACACATCATCAATAGAAAAGTAGTGGACACAGCAGATCTGAATTCTCAGGTACTTGCCCCAAGAAGTGACCTAGGAATGCAAGCCACACACACAGCATATCCCAAGTGAATCTCAAGACTTGAGGGAGTCTGCTGTGACACTGATAGTGTCAGAATTGGCTTACAAAATATTCTAAATAGAGTATCCAAATTTATAATACTGGTGTGATATTCCTGGGAGCTGTGGAAATACTTTGAGCACTAGGAGTGGAAATGAACTTAAAAAGAAAAAAAAGAAAGAAGAAGTAGTTCCCCAATCAAATATGAAGAACGAGCTGATAGAGGTTCTAAATTATTTTACTGCTGTTGTGATTTGCTGGCCACACACACACACCTTAGATTTTCTGACAAATTCTACCTTTTTCTTCCCCGGAGATGATTGACTGGATCAGGGCAACATTCCACTGACAGTATTGATAATAGTTGGCTGGTTTGAACGGCTGTCGTTTTAAAGCTGGTTAAAATTGCCAGAATTAATGTGTATATGGCAAGCATTAGAAAAAGAACACCCTAATGGCAAGAAGTGAGGTGAAAGCTACTAAATAGGGTCACAGACTGCAATAAAAATCCAAATTCTAACCCTTCCCCACTGTATCCAAAACTATTTTTCACAGTAAATGTATTAAACGGTAAAGAAAGCATTACCTTTTATAGGGAGAGAAGTCCATTTGAACATCTGTGGAGGAAACTTCTTTTATCTTCATCAGTACATTGCTGATAAATGTTGCCTTACTCATAACACTTCCTGAAGGAGCTTGTTTTACAACAGTAGATAAGGGCTTGGGCCTGGTCACTTAAAGTAAATAAAAAACACAAAAGGGCAAATCCAAATCAATGAAGATTAAAAGGAAAATGTCTAGCTGTTTTGCATATATTCTCTGTTATGGTCATGAAAAATTATTTTTTAGGTAGAATTTACATTTTCAGATCCAGCTGGCAGGTGTTGCTTTAGTCCTATTTGCACATTTACCTGTCCTCTTCTGGTTTAAAGATAGAAAGCCCGTTGTTTATAAAGTTCAGCAGCTTAAGATTAACTTTGCACTACCTCTGATGAGGCAAAAAGAAAAGTTTGCTTTTCAAGGAAGGGTGTCCGTTTTCTTAAAGACAAAAGGAGAAGGTAAGGTATGATAAAAGGTACAGGAGAAGGTATACAGGATCGTCCTTGCAGCTTTGTTTTGCCAATGTCCAACCGCCCGAAGGTGGCAGAAAAACACAGCACTACCAAAATGGTGTCTATTGAAGTATGACACAAAAAACCTACCCAGAATGGGATCCCACCAGTCCTGGGAGAATTCTCCAGTGACAAAAACCCTCTGAATGGGAGAAGAATCCTTACTAGCCACTTGGTGGAGAGGCTGCATAATAGCGTTAAGGACTAGCTAGTCCATAAGGGTAGTCACGATTGACTGCTTAGGAACAAGAGCTGCAACAGCAAAGAAAGGGGGCTGAAGTAAACCGGAAAGAGATGGGAGGGTCCCCAAAACCCTATACTACCGGGGAGGCACTCAGGAAGGTGTGTGTGGGGGAAATTCAGATACCACTGAGGAAAGTGGAAGGATGAGATGAGAGTAGTGGCCTAGAAGGAGCACAGCACCAGTAGCTAAGCTGACACAGGGACTGAAGCAAGGGGTCCAGGGGTGAGAGGAACTCAAGGGGATTGGGAATGCTGCACTACTTTGTGCGACAGCACAGGGAACCGATGAAGAGTGCCAGAGGCAAGGGAGTAGCCCGTAAGCCAAAAAAGGCAATGAATGCCCAAGGGGGCCAACTACCCAGGAACCCACACAGATGCAAAAACAGTTGGATGTGGGGGCGCTTCATGCAGGTGGTTTTTTAGGTTTCTGACTGTCCGATAGTGCTCCCAGGCCCTCCGAGACTAATTGCAGAAAGGAATTACCTTTCACGTTCAGGCAGGTGTACACTCAGGCCTTCAAAGATGGTATCAAGCGTAGGATTGAAAAGACGGCATCTCTTGAAGACCAAAAAAACTCAGATGTTCTTTGGTTAATGTGCTAATGCCATATCTAGTGTGCTCTGAGCATCTGATTGGACATTGGACCCATGTAGAACACAAGCTTGGAAGCTTTTTCTAAAAACTTAAGCGTAGGGCTCCAGACATTTGTTCCGCATGCTGAAGGGATCTAATTCAGTGATGGGAGATCCTTTTTGAGGTATCGGAGCCAGTCTATCGCAGTTTGACAGCTTAAAGATACGAGTACCTTCCAGAGAAAACTGGGATTTTAGGATGGAAACCAACAGCTGGTCAGTAGAATCAAAAGGTAATCATGCATTTTCTACTACACTAGTGGTTTTTCGGTTAGGTGGGTCACTGGAGGATGCACTGTGGGTACATAGCACAAATTTCAACAAATTTCCTCTCAAAAAGGGAAAAAGCTCAACACACTTTCTGGCTGGGCCAGGGACCCTTCAGAGGACTGACTTGAATAGCGGGTGTAATAGAAAGGTATTTGCGGTTGTAGGAGCTCTGAAAACCCCAAGGCTGGGGAAAGCAGGCTGATCCTCCCCAGTATAGCCCAAATACTGTAGTGTCTAGTAAACATTAGGGATGGACTGTGGATATGAGTCTGATGGTCATAGCAACCAGTTCCCAAGGTGTTCTTAGGCCTCAGACAGATCAGAGATAGACTCTGCAGGGGGAAGACCCATGGCAAAAGGGTTGGGCAACTCAACCTCACCTAGCCAAGCTAAGGGAGACTCCAATGAGGAGGACCCAATAACCATAGGGCCACTTGACATTAATATACTCCGAGTGCAAAGGTAACATCCACAGAATTGTGAGAGTTAGCTGGGGGTCACCCATAGCAGTGGGGCTATCCCATCTGTATCTAGACACAGACATATTGTGACTGCATGGCAGTTATACAAATATGTTCAAGGTACAAGGCAAGGCCACAAGTACTCACAAACCCAGGCAGCCGATGAGGGTCAGATGGCCAGAGGTGATCAGGTCACTGCAGGAGAGCAGTGGGAACAGACCGAAGATCACATGGTGGTTTTCAAAGCAGGAACGGCAATGAGATGGTGCCTTCTCCACGCTGAATGGCAGTAAAGAGTGTGCACCCCCCCCCCCCCCCGCAGATGACCTCAGCACTCAGTGTTATACCCTTCTGAAGTAATCTGGCGGTAGTGGGAATTTGAAGAGCACCCAATATGAAGCCTGAATTATGGTCTGAGAGTGACCTGCAGATGGTGGGAGTGAAGTTGGTGCACCCTTGCAGGGACCATTTGGGGGTTGACAAAAAGAAATCAGTCTTTCTGGAGGGGAACCTGTATCTGAGATTTACCCTCCCAACCCGAACTACACCCAGGCAATGATGTGAAATTATATTTTGATGAACTGGGGCCAGCTCGAGGGATGGAAGAAATGTTGTCCTAGTTAAGATGGAAGGCTGAAGAACAGAAGACTTCCTGGATTTCAAGGCCAAGTTTCGGAGCCACCAAGCAAGGACAACCTGGTCCTCGGTGCTAAATGAAACAGTCTGTCCAGGGACTAGACTGATATAAAATCTGCAGGGGAAAGTGCAGAAACTTGTGGCCTCTGGGGTCAAATAACTGATTTTGGCCATAAAGCAATTGACCATAGTAAAAACCTCTAGCAAAAGTGGGGAGGAGCAGGCCACGTTTGCCAGAGCAGCGGAAGACTAAGACAGGAGACTCTAGTAGTAGAGGGCAACACGATTCCAGGCTGCAGATGTTGCTTGGCTAAGTAGGCACAATGCAAGCAGCACTGGAGCTGTTGAGTGCAACCTGATAGCCCCCAGAAGTCAGGCTGTGCAACAGGTCTAGAGTCATACATATTACAACCACGTAGATATATGACAACGTACGGGTCAGGGCATGAGGCAAGGTCTCATGTAATATAGAATCCCAACAGCTCTTAGCAGGAGAGTGTCAGATGGCCAGAGATGGCCGCAGTCACTGTAGGTGGGCAGCAGCAATGGATCCAAGATCGGAGTTCCCTGTAGTTCTTTGCAAACCAGAAGCACCGGCAGAGAGATGCTTCCTCTACCGACGGGAAAGACGACCAGAATCGGTCTTCTTTCCAGTTAGCGGATGACATCTGTGTTCTGTCCCTCAGTGTTAACCCCTTTTGCGGCAGTTCAAAAGCATTCTGAGGATCTGAGCAACACTCATGGCACAAGTATTCAGAGACAGGGCAAGCACTAAAACAATGGCAACAGCTCTAGATCTGGAAAGCATTCCGCTGAGAACTTGTTTATGAAGGAGGAAGAAAGAGCTTTTAAGGCATCCATCCTCCAAGACACGACACAGATGATGTATCCTCCTGCCTGCAGCTGATTGACAATATCACAGCCTAGGCAAAGTTACTTCCCTGAAGCGCAAGGACTGTCTTTTTCAAAAAGAAAAAAAACGGAACAGCTTTTTAGGGAAATTATACTTAATGGCTACATGTCAGCAAATTAGATGTTCAAACTTGTACCACTTTATTATGCTAATACCTTACAACATTTTGAACAAACACCATAAACCATTTTTATTTTTACAGTAAGGAAAGGTTCAAACATATTTTATCTGCCATCGGGGATACCACATTGAAGATTTTACTTTACATTGAGTGGTGGAAAAACCACCAAGAACAATTGTGATATTTAATGTACCTTCCTTCCAAATCGTCGAGGATAACGCAGAGTGTTTAGTCCTTTCACCTGCAAGAGTTCGCTGTACCCCTGGCAGTGTTTTGCTATACTGATCAATTATAGCATTACGGGCCACTGCTCTCTCTCGAAGCTTTCGATCAGAATCAAACTACATAAACAGAAACAAATGATAAAATGTACAAAATAGAATGATAGAGATTATTCCCAATTCAAGATATAACATTTTTTTTGTCTAATCTGTAAAATCAGGTTTGTTTCTTGAAGTACATCACAGGACACAGGAAGTTAATTCTTAGATCAATGGTTTATGATGCTACCTTTCGATGATTGAACACTGACAAATTAATCAAAAGCTGCAGGACAATCCTGCATAACCCCTTCCTACTCACAGCTTGCCTCAGTTTTATAGCAAGCAATACAGAATGGATTACAGCGTAAAGAGTGGAGTGTCCGATGATTTACTCCAAGAAACAGATTTCACAGGAAAGACTTCTTGGAGTAAAATACAGGACACAGGCAGATTCATGGACAACTGGGCTATATGCATGTTTCATCGGGTGACTGTACGCTGGTCACAGCTGTAAGGAGCCCCACATAACTGGTCCCAATTCTCAATTGTTTTAGCAAGCAATAAAGGACACAAAAGGGGAGGGTCCTGTGTCCTGAACTGCCCTCCAAAAACAGATTTTACTGGCAAGTCAAAAATCCTATTTCCTGGATTGTACAGTACAGGTCAAAGGCAGATTCGGACGTCAATACAAAATACAACTGAGGGGGTGGGCAACACAGCAAGCTACACCAACAGGGCAACAGAAAAAAGCAAGCTCTGTAGGGTCTGCTGAATGTTGGACATCAGGACAGTGCCGAACTGCTCCCAGAGGAGCAGATCATCCAAGTACCCTATGGGGATCCCCTAGGGGAGCAGCCTGGCCAAGACAGGCACCTTGATGAACCATCCTGTGTGCCGAGGACATATCGAAGGGAAGAGTGACAAATTGGGAATGCTGTTAGTTCACAGCAAAACGTAGGTAGTGACTGAGCAGGGAAAATGGGGGTGTGTAAATACACATCCTTGATATCCACCGAGGCAGAGAAATCTCCCAAATAAAGGGAGGCAATGATAGATCAGAACCTAGGCACCATAAAACTCCTATACCAAGAGTGCTGAGAAGTGTCCCTACTTGCAAAAGAGGGGCATCTCTGCATTGTGAAGAGGGCTTATCTCCTGCCTTGGTGGTTTTGGAGATCAAGGCCTTGCTGCAGAAAAGTGCACCCTTTGCACTAGGAAATTTGATGCTTGAGAATGAGTCTTGGGCTTTTTCTGAGTCAAGAAGACTTTTTCCCCCCTGATGACTTACTTGGACAATTCTAAGGATCTTCCAGCAAGGGGGCCTCCAGTAAAGGGCATGCACTCTAGGTGTTTCTTGCAGGGGAGCTCCACCAACCAATACTCTGGCCAAAGGATCCCCCCGTATGTGAAAGGAGAGAAAGCGAAAGGTTGCAGGAAAGAACGCCAGCATCAGTCAAGATAGATCTGGGGTCCCTAGCCATGGACCAGACCAACAAGGTCCAACAAACTGCCATGGAGGCAACTTTGGGCTGCATAACTGGGCCTGCAATGGCAAATAAGGCCTTAACAAGGGCTGCTAACCTCTTGTCCGTGAGGTCCTTGAAAACAGATCCTCTACAGCCTTGGTTCTCAACTGGTGGTTCGGGACCCAAAAGTGGGTTGTGACCCCGTGTTCAGTGGGTCACCGCATGCCTTCCATTTTTCTAGGCGAGGCTCCTCAGATTCCCCCTAGCACAGCACTGTCCGTTCTCACAACACGCAGCCAATCAAAATATGCTGCCCGACGCTGAGTGTCAGCTTGAAATAGGGCAGGCTGGGGGTATGTCCGCGAGGGAGCTCCACCCATACATTGCTTACAGCTCCCTCACTTGTCCTGTAGAGGTGCCTGGACCAGAGTGACATCGCATTCTGGCTCCCAGCACCTCTACAGGGCACGCAAAGGAGCACATATGGATTGAGCCACAGCACAGCAGCCCACACTGGACCCCAGGCTGAGGATCCACTCCAGTTCTCGTAAGATAGGGAGACTGGATGGATTTTGTAAAAAAAAGATAATAAAAACCATTTTGGAGCATGTATGTGTGTGTGAGACTGTCTGAGTGTGTGATAGTGTCTGTGGTTGTGTGTATCCATCAGTGTTTTTGAGGGCCTGTTACCATGCGATTAACGCACCTTACCATGCAATTGCACCTACCACTCGTTCTGGACTGGGAGGTGTGTTGCATTGCCATTCATTTGAATGGCACACCAAAGGCATCTCCCACCCACAGTTCGATCGCCCGCACCGTAACGCATAGTACCGCAATGCTGTGCGTTCCAGTGCAGAGCAACTTGGGTCACGGCTTAATGACCAAGGACAAATGAGGGTCCTGAGGTTACACAGGTTGAGAACCACTGCTCTACAGGGACTGTAAGGGTCTTGTTCAGGTAAGAGATGCAGGGCTCATGGTAGGAACCACCCACTTAAGAAAGCTACCCTTCAGAGGATACTGCTGGGCAAACCATTTTAGGGGACAGAACAGTTTCTCAGGGTGAACTCAGTCACCATACAACACAGGCTATAAAACTGAGAACACACATAAAGTGACCCAAATGTGTGACCTTAGTAAGGTCAACACAGGCAGTTCTAACTACAAACAGGTGAGAACCGCATTCCACAAGGAGAGAAATCGTGTCCTTCAGTTTATGGAAAGAGGTCAGTTTCTCTTCACAAAAAAAACTCCTGAGAACAGTTCCTTCCTCAACTTCAGAGTGTGAAAATGCAAAAATACTGTAGACACCTAGTGGCCTGAAGCAGCATTAGGGAAAACTAGTGATGAAGTACATCCATCACCTAACACTAGCAAAAAAACAGAGGCAGGCTAGGGTTATGCAGGGCTGTCCTGTGGTCTTATTACCTCCCTGTGCCTTGTGGTGTTGAATCAGGAAATATGTATTTTCTTCCTCATCACAAAAGAAATGAGTTGTCATGCATCAGAAACCAGTTATAACCTGCACAAAAAATATTCCTCTCCATCTGATGCCTACATGTGGGCCTATGGACTTACCATTTGGTAACCTTTCAAAGACTGGTTCAGCTGCAGAGCTGGGATGTAGTTGGCTCTTTGCAAGTGATGTACCAGAAGCAGTTCTTGATTCTGCACACCCCCAGTTGTCTGCAAAAACCTTTGTAAAAATCCCTGCAATTTAAATGAACATGCTATACATTAACAACCTGGTATATTCAGTAACATGACATATTTAAGACTAAAGCTTCATAGTTTAGGCAATGATGATCATGATGTTTTAGGTTTTATTACTTACCTGCTCACAATCAGTGAAAGTTAATTTTAACAGATCTTCCATGAGTCCCATTTCTTGGCATGCTTCATACATGTGCTTTAAAAGCTCTTCTACATTCAGTCTGGTGGAGTGAAGTCTCTGTAGATTCCAAGCCTCAATAAGATTTCTAAAACAGAAATCAAAATATATGTTTTAACCATTCCAACAAACTACTCCATTTGTTTAGCAATGCTACAGATTTTACATGTGTAAATTACACGCATGGCGACACAAACCACCTTTATGTGCAGTCGTATCTGTAATCAAGAGGCAAGAGAAAGCTGTATAGTGAGCAGCAAATGTATTGGCTCATAAAAACAGATCAACTGAGCATTTAGGACCTAAAACATGGGCATGGTTTAATGGGGTCTGCTCTCTGGTGGGTTAGTTACAGTGACTAGGCAGGGTTGCCCTTTGTCTGCTTTATTTTTTAATCTTACATTGGAGCCCCTATGACTTTAAAAAGCAGGATGCTAGGTGTTAGGGAATGAAAATGGTTCATTCTTCTTGTTTTCATGTTCAGATGACTTTCACTCTGTAGAAAATATAATATAAACTGAAAGCTTTGGCCATTTTTTTTTAAGGCTCTATAAAAGGATTAGGGGAAGACAGAAGTGTTGCCTCTAAGGAATATTATTGTTACTGGTAATATAGTCAATTTAGGAGCATTAAAGCCACATTACATTAACCCCTTCATGACTGAGCTTGTTTTTAGTTTCTGTTCGTAAATGACTGACACACTTTTGACATTTTTGCTGTGTGATTCTTCCACGTCAGTAATATACTTTCTTACAAAGTGCACCCACACATATTATATATTGTTTTTCAGAGGACAGATAGGGCTACACATTTATATCACATATGTGTGTCTAACGCCTCACTTAGGACAAATAAAATATAAAGAGAAAAAAAATATTCTCAGCGTTTAACAGCCCTCTAAAGAAGCAAATAACTCGTCACGTACAGTGTACGTGACAAGTCATTTGGTCCCTTTGTGGCTGGACGTACAGTGTACGTCTCCCGTCACGAAGGGGTTAATCAAAATTGCCTCCCCCTGCTGATGAAGAATCTATTGCTCACTTTAGCCAGCGGTTCAGTCCTCTCTCCAGTGCTGCAATGTGGGCAAGAGGCGACAGCACATTCTCATAATGTGATACTATTCCTGCACCGAATATAGTGCATAAGTAAGGACTGTGGCAAAAGGGCCGGCAACAAGACTTCCATGAACAGCAGATAGGGCAGGCTGGTAGCCAATAAAGGAACTAGTGGGGAGAAAGTGCGGGACTGTGGAGGAATTGTAATCATTCTTTCATTCAATAGGCTAAAATGAGAAGAATTTTGTGGGGAGGGCCTTCAGGAATGACAAAGTCTGTCTAAAATAAAAAAAAGCCTCAAAACAACCTCATCTCTGATTAGCACAAGAAAAGCTTCTTGAAGGATAAGGCCGCCAAATCAGACACTCTTCTTAGGAGGTAATGGCCATGAGGAAGGAAACCTTGTGAACGTAATATCCCTGATAAGTCGATTAAAGGGTGATTTCTGGAGAACGGACAGAACAACGTGGACCAAGAAGTGTACAGTGAAAACAATTTGGGTGGCACCTATTTTATATTGTTGCATGTTCCCATTCACATAGCATGAGCTAAAAAAAAAAAAGTTTTAAAATATGCTTCTTGCAGTTTCAATTGTTTTCACTTAGATTAGGGTTTCTTGTAGGGATGTCCAGATACAGATACCAGGCATTTTCACAAGTACTTGTATGATATTCGTTCTACTAAAACACTAGCCAATAAAGAGGCATAATTGGAGTGGGCATCCTGGACTGTCCTATAGCTGTTTGCCAGTGTCTAATCTCCTGAAGCCAGCTGCATAGCCCTCCGTACCCAAATATTCCCTGTGCCCCTTATTGCACAATTATAAAAAAAAAAAAGTTATGTCTTTCCACCTTAACCAGGGATTATTTTAAAACTATTCTAGCAAAGTTCTTGTAAAATAGTAGATACAATTAATTTCAAACAGAGTCTAGTAAAATGTTGTAAGACAAAATTGCAGCAACAAATATACAACTTACTTGTTGGCCAGCAGTACTGTGATATGTAGTCTGACATCTGCACTGCTAACTGCTGGAGGTTTCATTACTTGTATATAGCGCAGGGCTTGTCTGTAGTCACCTTGGCACAATAAAGTTTCAATGATCTGATTATGCTGCCAACTCATCACACGACTTGCAGCGGGGTGAAGAATACAGTCCAGAGAATTCTAAAGAAAAGTGGAAACATTGCTTTACCATATTTTTTTTCAACTATTAGCAACTGAGAAAATGGGTTAATAGCCGCATCATTAGCCAAGTGTGGACTGAGGTACAAGTTTTAACAAACTGGTAAAGGCTCATCCAAAACTGCTATCCCATTGCAGGTTGGCTGCTAACAGATACCTGTTAATAGCCAGATTCTTAAAATGATCTCTTCATAAGATTCCCATATGTAAAAAGACAGACCAATAATTTAACCCAGCAACGATTTGTATTGATGTGGTCTTCGCCACCAAAAAGTTTGCAAAACACATTTACTAAAATCGTATAAGTTTCAGCATGTGAAAGTCATTTTTATAATTTATAAATTCAAAGCTTTACTAAAAAACATTATCTGGTAATCCGGTCACCAGGATTCTTGTTATAGGCTGACAAGACTGTCCCCCAATAGTTCTGCATGGTTACCCTGTCAAGCAGCTCTCCTAATGGAGACAAGTGGCCTTGCCAATGTACTGGCATGTTCCACTGTTGTCACCATCAGGAAACCTACCCTGAGAAAATCAGATGCATGCCATGTACACAAAATGGTTACAAGAGGCTGGAGGCAATCAGCAGTACATAAAGATGGACTGTTATTAAAAGCAAAGCAAGCGTTTATGATGCGTCATGCTTTAGAAAACTAAACCATCTAGTTAGTTTGCCAGCTAGTTGTATGTCCTTAAATAGATGTTAAAGAGATGTAATAGAGATGCTGTCCAACCAGGAGTTGATGCTTTTTCATTTGTAAATGCAAAACGACAAAAAAAAAAAAAAAAAA